ATGGCCCCTTAACCTTGGACTCCCAGCCTCCAGAACTGTAAGAAATAAATTTTTTATCTTTATAAATAATCCACTCTCAGGTATTCAGTTATAACAACAGAAATGGACTAAGACACCATTCTTTTGGATTTTCTGCATACATAATTATGCTGAAAATAATAATTTTATTTTTTCCTTTCCAATTCTCATACTAGTTCTTTGTTTATTTTTGCCCTATTGCACTGGCTGGGATCTTCAACACAATCTTGAACAGTAGTGATAGTGGACGTGTTTAACAGGCATCACTTTATAGCCAAGAAAGAAAAAAAAAAAAACAACCCTAAGCAAGTTATCAAAGTTAATATCACCAGTAATAAAAAACAAATCAAAGTCATGTATCATCTGCTAGGGTGCACTGAGAAGAATACAGAATCACTTCTGTGACATTCTTGTCAAAGATGCATTACGTGAATTGAAACGTGAGGAAATCTTAGGCAAATATACAAACTGAGGGACAGCCTACAAATAACTGTCCTGTGGTCTTTAAAAGATTCAAGGTCATGAGAGTCAAAAGAGACATGACCAAATGCAAAGTGTGATTCTGAACTGGATCCTTTTGCTAAAAGAATTATTGGGACAACTGGAAAAACTTGAATACAGGCAGAGGGTCAGATGGTAGTAACATGTCAATTATTAATTTCCGATTCTGATAGTTGTGTAGAAGAATGTCTTTGTTTATAGGAAATACTCACCAAAGTATTTGGGAAATAATAGGGTATAATATCAGCAACTTATTCTCCATTTGTTCATGAAAAGTTTCTTTGTACTATACTTGCAACTTTTCTATAATTTTGCTTTGTTATTATTTAAAAATTTAAAAATTAAAACAATCCAAACTTCACTTAATTCCAGAGAAGACCACCAGGTGGAGTCCGTGGACCAGAGAGCTCAGCCCTTCTCCTGCTGGGCTTTAAAAAAAAAAGGGGGGGGGGGGTATGTCTTTACTTTAAAAAGGGAAAGTTAAACAAGTTTCCCTTGGTTTAGCACATGAACAGGAACAGAAATCAAATTATAGGCAGTTCTATTCATTTTAGGTATCTCTTTGAAGTTGCAAGCAGAGTTTTCTTTTTTGATTCCATTTAGCCAGGTTTCTCAACCTCAGCACTATTGACACTTTGGGCTGGATAATTCTTTATTGTGGGAGCTGACCTATGCACTGCAGTATGTTTAGCAGCTCCCTGGTCTCTATCCACTAGATGTGAGTATATCCCTCCAGTTGTGCCAACCAAAAATGTCTCCAGACATTGCCAAATCTCCCCTGGAAGACAAAATCACCCTGGTTGAGTACTGCTTTTGATAACAAGTTCTCTGCTCTGGGCACTTTGGTTCCTGTTGGCTCAATAGGGAGGCTAAAAGGTATCTGGTCACCCTTAGTATGGCTGGTCCATAGTGAGAGGTGGGTGTTCAGTGCTGTACAACCTAAAGATGCTGTTCTGTGCACAGACAAGCTACAGAGCCTGGGGTATCAGGAAAGGCCTCAGACAACCAACCTGGAAGGAAAAGTCTGGCATTCATGGAAGGAAAACAACAGTGAAGGCAGGGGAGGGGACCCCCCAGCTCCCAGTTGCCTGGCAACCAGCACTCAGTTGCCTCCCAGCTGACTGGGTGGAACCTTAAGATGCTGGAGAAAGGCCATGGTACATTGCTTTCCATCACCCCTGCTTGTTCTTATTAAAAAGTCCTTCTTTTGTACTTCTCTACCTCCTTCCCTTTCCATCCCCTGATGTAAATCTTCACCCGTCATTCTCAGGGACCCCAGCTTTCCCTGAGCTTTTAGGCCCCCTCTACCCATATCACCAATGATGCAAATGCAGTGGATGGCGGTCTCCCAAAGTTCAAGGGCACTCCACTCCTGGACACATTTATAGTCCTTTTATTTTTTTATAGCTCTGTCCACCTCCCGCTTCCCATATGTCTACTGTAAAAAGTCCAGTTCTCCTCAGCCCTTTGAAGAATTACACGATATAAAGTTAGCAGTGGTCTGGGAGGGATGGGGCTATGTCCATGGGGACCACTGTGAGGTGCCAAAGAATTTGGGGACATGGTCAATGTGATGGTTAATTTTAGGTATCAACTTGATGAGATTAAGGAATGCATAGAAACCTGGTAAAGCAATCATTTTGGGTGTGTCTATAAGGGTGTTTCCAGAAGAGATCTGCATGTGGGCCTGTGGACTAGGTGGGAAAGTCCCACCCTCAATATGGGTGGCACCATCCAATCCACTGGAGGCCAGGAGAGAATAAAAACAGAGGAAAAGGCAAATCTCTTGCTCTATTCTGCTGGAGCTGGAGCACACTCTTCTCTACTGTCCATGGACATCAAGACTCTTAAGAGTCTTGAGTTCAGCTTTTGGGTTCCAGGACTTACACTGGCTGCAATCTCAGGCTTGTAGCCTTAGACTGAGAATCACACCATTGACTTCCCTGGTTCTGAGGCTTCTGGACTTCAGCTGAGCCATGCTACTGGCATCCAGTTTGCAGACAGACTATTGTGGGACTCCTCAGCCTTCACAATCACGTAGGCAATTGCCCTAATTAATCCCCTCTCGTATATTTATATCCAAATCCTATTAGTTCTGTATCTCTGGAGAACCCTAAGACAGTCAGAAAAATGTCACCCCCTGGAAATAAAGCTAGTTTAAAACAAATGCATCATGGCTACATTTAGCCAGCTTCAGAATGCCACCCCACCTGCAGAGTGTCAAACTCCCTCGCTGGGCACAGGGATAGGAATTGTGCCAGTGTGTGGCCCAAGGCAAATCACCTCCCCTCTGTGGGCCTCAGTGTCCTTTTCTGTGAAATGACAGATTTAAAGGAGATGATCCATGATCCTGTCACTTAAAATCCATGAACATAGTCTGCCCTCACTGAGCCCAGACAATCTTATCCCTTGATGAAGTTTGGATGTACTGTCCTTCCAAAACTCATGAGGAAATCCGATCCACAATGTGACAGTGTTGGAAACTGATTGAGTTATCCGGGTGGATCCCTCATGAATGGATTAATGCTCTCCCTGGGGGGGGGGGGGGTTGGGGGGGGTGTGTTTCTTTGTTT